GGGTAAGGCAAAGGGAGATGAGGGGGGGCTCCCCAAATTCCCCGCCGGCCAATGGAGAGCGGGGGGCGGGGCGAGCCGGCGGGGGGTGGGGGGAGGCATTGTCTGCGCGACCCCTCCCCTTCCTGCAGCGCGGGGACAATGGGGCGGTTCCGGCTCGGCCCGGCACCGGGAGCGGGCGCTGGGCTTTGTTCCGATGGCGCGGGGCCGGGGGGCTGCGCGGGGCTGGGGGGAGATGCCGCGGCGTCCCCGCACACGCCTGGGGTTGGCGAGAGCCGGTCCGACCCCGCGGTCCCGTATCGCTTCTCGGAGCATCCGGAGAGGGGGGGGGAACCCACCGGGCCGGAGGCGTTCCGCACACGCACGGCCCCGCGGTGACCGGAGTTGTTGCCGCCGGTTCTGACTCTGAACGGTTCACCGCGGGGGGAGCGCACCGCGTTTCACCGGGGGGTGGCAGCCCGTGAGCGCCCGGCGCGGCTTCGTTCCCCGCAACTGAGCGACGCGGGGCAGCGCGGGGGGCGTGGAGCAGCGGCACACGGTGCGTTACGGGCATGGGAGGAGATGAGTCAGCACCGCGCGGAGTTCGCAGCCGCGGGCCCGGAGCCTGCGGGTAATAACCGTGCGGGAGAGCCACGGGGCGAGGAACCTCCGCAGCCCGACCGCCTCGGGTTGAACGGGCCATGGCGTGTCCCGCCCGCCCGCAACCCGGGCCGCCCGTGTCGGGTAAGCGATACCGGCGTCAGAATCCCTTCTGCGCGCACCTCCGGGCCCGGCGTGCCGCTGCATGGAGGGAGGGGACGGAGCTGCCGGGAGGTCGGGGCGCTGCGTCCCCACCAGGTGCTCGGCCGACGGTCGGGTGGTGTCACATCTGATTGTTTTCTTTTGACTGTTGATGTTCGCTGACAAGAAGAATGGTTAGAAGCGTTTATTTATTTATTTTTTTTCAGCCGAATGTGATGTAGAAATATAAGCCAGCACTGCACCTTTTTATTTTTTATTTTTAAGTTAATTTGGCTTTCATCGGCTCTGGTCTTTGTGTGCAAGGGAAAAAACGACCATGTGAGAGTTTCCATCCTGCACAAGAGCAGTGTGTGGGCACGCTTTGGCATTGATGCTGCTTTGTGTTGGCACTGGGCAGGGATGTGCAGGGCCTGAACTGCCTGCATAGGCGCTGTGAGAGGATCACCGAGGGAATGAGAAGCCTGAGGAAATAATAACGCCAAGGAAATCACCCCGTGTTCCTGCAGTGCTGGGTTGGCTCTCTCCTGAGGGTTGGCTCATCTCAGTGTTGGTGCTGTTAAGCTCCTCTGCAGGATGCAAAAACGCGATAATGGGTTTCTTCCTTTGCAGAGCACGGAGGGAGAGGCTGGGTTGGGTGTTGGTGCTTTGTCTGCCTGAGCTTGGGAGAAGCTTAGGCAGGGAGGTGGCAGCAGAGCTCTGGGTCTGCATGGGGACTGAGCCGTGTTTGCAGTGCCGTGTTTGCAGTGCCGTATCCGATGAGCTGTTGTTCCTATATGACCCTCCTGACCAACATTATCCCTTTGTTTCCACAACCCACATTCCTGGAATGTGTGTCCCACACTGACTGAGCTGAACTGAGCTCCCATTGCCATCAGTGGGAAAAACTTCTGTGTTGCTCCACTGTCGCTTTGCTGAGCTAGAGTCCTTTGGGTCCCATCCCCACAGCTGGGAGCTGTGCAGTCTGCATTGCAGTGCAGCCCCTTGGCACTGCAGGTCACCCCATAGTGACCTAAACCCTATGTGGGGATTTGCTTCCTTGTTATTCCCTGCCTCAGTGGTGGCTGGTGTGGTGTGCCAGCTTCCTCAGCTCAGTCCCAGGCTTCCTGTTATTTGATTTTAAGCTTCAGAGATGGAGCTGTGTGGTCAAATGACAAATCTCACCATGTGTGCCTGGTGGGACCAGGACAGCGAGAACCAGAGCACATTAAAAAAGAGATGCAGACCCATTAACTGATCTGGTGGAATATAATTTTATAGCTCTTCTCAAGCATGTCAGACATGCCAGGAATGCCATGCGTGGTGGGGCTGTGGTGGTTAATGGGGCTGTGCTGTGCTCAGGTGAGGGAGGATCATCTGCACCCAGAGAGCAGAACCTTGGGGTGAGGTTGGTGAGGTGGAATACAGGATGCTGCGATGGGCTTCAGAAGAGTGTGGGTGTTTCTGGGCAGCAAGTTGGGTTTTCACAGAGGTGAAGCAGCGTGGCATTTTTGCCTTCTTGCTCGCCAGCCCATAGGAACACACTGCAGCAGCCAGAAGCTGAAGGTGCAGTTACCTGCCCATTGGTAAAATATTGAATAATTCAGCTTGGCTTTCTTTTTTCCTTCCACCAGCAGTGTGAGGTTGTTCCCAAAGCCCACAGTTTTGTCACCTGCATGGTGGGCAGCCACGACCTCATTCATTTTGTGCCGAGGGCACAAAACTCCCCTGGCTTCAAAGAGTGAGACTGGGGAGGGGGAAAGATGTGTGCCATGGTGGCCATATTTACTGTGGGCAACTGCTGGTTTTCCTAAAGCATCAGTGAATTGAGGCATGGAGGTCTGCATAGCGTTGGGCTGAGCGCAGATGGGGATGGAACCGTGCAGCTGTGTGACATGGAACAGCAGAGAGCATCTGCTGCTGGGTCCTATGGTGGGGTTTGGGGGCTGTAGGGGTGCGGGCTGTCCCCAGAGCAGTAGTTTTCCTGCAAACTGTGTGTGCCATAAAAACATAAATGTATGTATGTCGATGTTTGTTGTTATATTACCATCCTGGAGCAGTTTGGACCCCTGGGTAGCAAGCATCTTTCTAGTGCAGGAAAAAGAAAGGGGAGCAAATGGTGTGGAAATGCATAGCAAATTGGGATGCAATGCACAACAGGCCTCTCCCTGCTGCGTGACCCTCAGCCCTGGGGAGGGGGGGGGTGGTGGGGAATGAATTACGTGGGGCTGGAGGGGGGAGGCACAGCGCAGGGCTGAGCGGCTGCAGGCGGGGGTTTGGCTGTTGGCCGGGGTTGAAATGTCGCGCGGTGAATGCGCGCGAGGTGTGAGATGCAAAGGGAAGGGATGGGAAGGACTCAAGGACAACGTCTGACGACGGCTTCGGGTTATGGAGTTTGCATAAGGAGAGGCCGGGCTGGGAATTGTTCCGTGTTCGGGCAGCACCTGGGCGCAGCTTCCCCCCCCCGCTCCGGTCCTCTCAGCTCCGCCGGCACTGCGGGAACGGAGCGGGGCTGTGCGGGGCTGTGCGGGGCCGCTACCGGCAGCTCCCGGCGCTGAGCACGGCGCGGGGGCCACCGCCCGCCGACACTCGGAACTGCACCGGGACGCGCACCGGGCGCAGCGCATCGCTCCGCATCGTTCGGCCTCCCGCTCCCCTCCTTCATCGCGGCCCAGGGGGTGGGAAAGGAGCGAGCCTTGCTCCTGCTGGCTCCGAGCACGGGGGCTGGGTGTCTTCTGCTGCAAATACACTAATTCAACGCTTCCTTCGTTTTTCATCCCTGCTCTAAGTCAAAACAGCGACTCGGGGGTGCAGCAGTGCTGTGCGCTCCGTGGGTTTGCACCGTGCTCAGCTTCCAGCCTGGAGGGCTGCCTGCTGGGCATCACCCTGTGCAGCTGAGTTCATAGCTGAGACAAACCCCAGCCTTAGGTAAAGGGTCACATCAGGAAGGCTCTGCTCTGCATCGTGACCACATGGGGACCCTGGCACTGCTGTGCCCCTTTCGGCTGTCAGCTCCACGGGGTCACTGGGACCAGCAGTGTCACCTCAGCCCTGGGCTGCCTCTGCCCAGGGTGGAAAGTCCCAAGGTCACAGCAGGTTTACTTTCAAAGTTACTGTATTGATATTATTTTAAATAATATTTGCAGTGCTGGCCCATGTGGCTCCCCTTGCAGAGCCTCCCCATTGTTTGCCTAATGGACTGTTTGCTCTGCATGCTGCCGGTCTGACCCCCACCCCCAGTATGGTTTCAAGCCAAACATTTTCTTCCTGTTTTTTTTTTTTTTTCTGAGCGAAGCGTGCGTCTCTTGTTTCATCTTATTGGGTGAAACCAACGCAGGGAAGGCAGCTCGAGCAAATCTCTATGGCAACAGATGTTTATCGAGCCCCTGAGATGAGGCACAGAGATGGGGAGAGGCACTTCAGCATCTGGGATGGGGTCAGGGCAGCTGCCATTCTGATGCCCCAGGTAGAAGGGCAGCGCCCAGGACCCCGAGATTGCAGAGTTGTTGCTGTTCCCTGAGCCTCTGGGTGAGATCCTGGGCTGCTTCCTGCAGAGGAGAAAAGTTTGGCCTTGTATAATGTCCCCGTGCACCCATGGCACATCAGCCCTGTGCAGAGCAGCACCAGGCAGGGCTGGCACAGGTGGGCACAGAGTTTGCGTGGTCCTGGACTTGTGAACCACAGTCCCTGGGTGTTTGCTGTCATCTGGTGTGTCCTGACTCAGTTTCTCCAAAAACCATCCAGGATTAAAACTTGGTGTATTTTTCTCCCAAAGCTCCCAAGAGCAGCATCTACAGCCCAGGGTGAGAGCTGTTGGTAGGCAAAATTTTGTGGGTGTGGCTCTGTAGGATGGCAGCTAGAGCCTCTCCCGTGTGCTGTGGCTTTTGAGCTTGGGGTACCTGGGTTCTGTTTGCCCATTTTTTACTATAAGCCAGAAAGACAGAAAGTTTGGTTAGACAAATATCTGCAGCTCACAGAGGCTGCAGGGAAGGGAAACAGGTAAACAGGAGGGCTGGTGGTGGTACTGCTGCTCTGTGCAGCAAGTTGAGAACCTGTGCGCTTTTCAGAAAGCTGTGCTCTGCAGAATGCAGCTGGTGGGCAGTGCCCAAAGGAAGGAGGAGCAAACAGGGCACATGCCTAAAGAAAACAGCACCTGCACAGAGCTTTCTGGCTGTACAGTAATTACCTCTGGTTGGGGTTAGTATGCTCCTCCCCAGCATCTCAGGATGAGAGCGATTCCCAGCGCCACCGGCAGCTTTGTTGCAACAAGGAGAGGAGCACTGGAACCTGCAACATCGAAAGTGCAGCGTTACCCTGGAGGAGCTGGGATGAGCTCAATCAGGAACTGGTGCAGAGAGCAGCCACCAGCAGGAGGTGGCCGCGTAACCTGACCTCTACCAGCAGCATAAAGCCTTGCTTTTGGTGTCTGGACCGCTTGTGTGTATTTAGAAGGAAAGCTGCCCGAAGGCAGGCTTGCTGCGGGGGCTGTGCGGGGAAGCAAAGCGCGGGGCGTTCCTGCTGGGGTGCTGCGGGAGCCGCCGCTAGGTGGCGCTGTTCGTGCGGCAATGCCGGGCTCGGGGCGGCCGCGCCGTCGGGGCTCGAAGGGACGCGCGGGACACGCGGTGCACTCACGCAGCATCGACCTCGTGGCATCCAAAGAACCGTCGTGAGGTTCCGGCGCGATGCCCAACAGCTCGCAGAGCAGAGCGTAGACGTTGACGCTTTCGAACGGCTCCGCTATGAGCCCCTGCTTGAAAGCCGGCCCCACGGCGCGGAAGATGGTTTTCATGTTCATGGCTTCATTGTCAAAGCCGTGCTCTCCCGTGTTGAACTGCACCTTGTACCTCTGGAAGGCAGACAGATGTGAGTGTCTCAGCTCTTCAGCCCCTTGGAGCACAGCCTCCCAGGAGGCAGCGTGCCCTGCCTGCTCCCTCCCTCCATGTCCCCGTGTTCTGCAGTCTTGGGGTATAACCACCTGTTTGTGGGGAGGTGGGTCAAAATGAAGGCATAAAGCCAGGTAGATTCAGGTGGGCTGTGAAGAGGAAAGGAAGAAAGAGACAGATCTAAGAAAGACAGTAAAGTATGTGCACGTGCATCTTACCCCATGGATCACATATCCTGGATCACTGTACATCAAGAGCGGGGTGATCCGGGAATGGTTGGCATAGTGGAATCTCTTTGGAAACTCTTCTTTTTTGTACACGTGTAACTTCGGGTGGGCATTTTTCAGGACTGAATACACGTGCTCTAATTTCCCTTCTTTTGGTATCAGCAGCCCGTTGGGTCCGTAATCTAAGAGTTCAAACTGGATGTCACTGAATGTGAAGTTCTCTACATTCCGGAGGTGGATCTCATCGCTCTTTATGACCGTCTCCATGCCGTGGTCAGATGTGATGATGAGGTTGAGGTTTGATTCCAAGCCACTTTCCCTGATCTTCTGCCTTAAATAACCAATGGTTTTGTCCACCTGGCTGACCATGTTTCTCCTCTCCGTGGATTCGGGGCCGTATTTGTGTCCTGTTGAGTCTGGCTCACCGAAGTAGAGAGTGATGAAGTCGAGGTTGTTCACTGTGAACCACTCCATGGCAGTGTCAATGTTCTGTCTCCAAATGGTTTCGTTGCTGTAGTTGAACAGGGGAGGCTCCACCAGCTTCATGCTCACTTCTTCACCTTGATATTTTGCTTTTGTCCCAGGGAAATGGATGGAGCCTGTCTTTAAACCCTGTTAGTGAAGACGTTGTGTGAACTCAGCTGAACTCACTCTGCCTGTCAGTACAACTGCTGCCCGTGGATGTGGTTGATTCATTCAGCCCCTTAATGTCTACCTCTGCCTCTAACCAAGTTTTCTTTCTCATCACCCATTAAAAGTGGTTAACTGGAAGCACTGCCCTTCCCAGAACCCCTCTCTGCTGGTTCTCTCGTGACGTTAGCAATGCTAGTGATAACTTCAGAAACACTGACCTGTTTGTACCACCCTAGCATTAAGGTGTGCTTTACTGCAGTCACGCAAGCGCTCACCCTGAAGTCAACGGGTCCAATTTGGCAGGTAAACACAGCAGAGGTTTGTGTCTGGGGCAAGATCTCATGTCCTGCCTTAAAGCCAGATCCAAAGCCTTTCTGCAGCCCTCGGTGAGGGGGGAGCAGCCCCCTGCACAGCCCCCCCATGTGTCCTGGGGTGAGGATAGGAGATGAGGCGGATTGCAGAGCATGGAGTGCTGGGGCTCAGTCTGCTTCCTAAAGAGCTGGCTGGGGTCTTCTTAATGAGGGAGCGGATAACTTCTTTTATTAAGATCTTAATAAAGCCGAAATGCGCCTTTAATTTTTCTCTATTTTTAACAGGACGATCACGATTATACCTGCCATTGCCTGGGGATTTAATTTCCTTTTTGCTGGTGTAATTAGCCCTGTCGCTTGCAGCAAGGAAGTTAGCTGCTGGCCACTAGAGATCGTGGCTCGCCCGTCGCCTGGAGCGCACAGCAGCAGCAGCAGCAGCAGCAGCAGCCCCACTTGCCTGCCTCTGTGCCGTGATCCAGATGGGCAGGCTGCCGTTGTCCCACCAGCTGTCGATGCCCTGCGTGCTGTAGTAGGGCAGCTTCACCCCCGTGCTGGTGTTGAACCACATGTTGTGGATGACCCCGTGATTCTCCATGTACTTCCCTGCCCGAAGAGATGGACAGGGTGAGGGTGAGTGGGGCTCCCCACCCATTGGGAGCATCCCAGGATCCGCTCTGGGGCTCTCATCCCTCCTGCAGTGCCTCCTGCCCTTTCCACCCCATTTAGAGTTCACCTTTATGCTGTGTTTAACCCACCTCTTTGCTCTTTTGCTTTCTGTTGTTGTTCACAACGGACGAGGTCGGCAGAAAGCACAAATCCCTGCTGCAAGTGGAAGGCTGGCCCTTTGTGCTGTTACACTTCATGCTACTCCTGTCATCCTGCTTCTCAAGGCTGCGCAGTTCCTTCTGCGTGACGTCCCAGCCCTCCTTTGTATCGACAACCCTCCCTTGCCTTTCCTCATCAGCAGCTTTCATTAGCATGCACCACTCTTTTATGCCAAGGTTATTAATGAAAATCTTAAATAAGATTGGCTCTGGCATTGATTCTGCAGGAATTCCCCTGCTGCCCTCCCTGCTGCTCAGCGCTCCTTTCAGCACTACCTGCTGTTGCCTTCCCCCCAGCCTGTTACTTACCCACATTAGAGATTTCATACTAATCTTCGTCTTCTCCACCTTAACTAATGATTTCCCACGTGGCACCATATCAAATACATTGCAGAAGTCCGGGAAGATGAGATGTGCTGCATCTCCCTTGTCTAAAAAATCATTTCCCTTATCAAAGCAGGCTGTCGGCTGAGTCTGATGCTATTTACCTGTGATGAACACAGGTTCAGTTCTACCTCAACGCACCTCAACTCTTCTTTAGTACGTATTGCTAAAGCTCAGTGTGCCATCAAGGCCGGTCTGTGGGCTGCCTGCTTGGCTCAGTAACTTTTCCCATACCCAACCCCTCATTTGCCCTTTCCCATTCTGTGGGTCGGTGGCACTCACCGGTCAGCAGTGTGAAGTGGCACGGGCTGGTGAGGGTGATGAAGGCAGGGGTCATGTACCGCGCCTTCACCCCCTCTGCAGCCATCGCATCCAGGTTGGGGGTGTCCACATCCTGGTCGTAGTCCCACCGAAAGCCATCGAAGGACACCAGGAGGACTTTGTCACGGCCGGATGTGTGCGGCACAGGGCTGCCTTTTGCTACAGGGAGGGCAGCAAACAGCAGCACCAGGGAAGGGAACATCATCTTGCCCTTGAGGAGAGGTAGCGCAGACATCCAGAGCTCGCATTAATATATGCAGGAGGGGACTAAGTTCAGCTCTTATCTAATCTTGCAATAGCTGATCGGGCGCAGGGCTTCAGCCAGGACTTCGTATCAGAAGGAGCCTCTTTGTTTTTGTCTGGCTGGAGTGGATTAGCTGGGACTTCCTCCCCCCCCTCCAACACCACATCTGCACCTCCATCCGTGATGCCTCGTGCTCGTGGATGTGATGTGAGGCTCTTCCTATTGCTGAAGCATGAATGAGTTTTCTGCCACAAGCAGAACGAGGAGATGGGATGTGCTGGAACAGCCCAAGGGAAGATGTTGTCACCACGTTTTGGCAGCCCATGTCCCCTTCCCATGGGGACCCCTTCGTGCCGCAGTGCCAGCCCCAATCCCACTGCCTGCTGCGAAGCTTTGCTGTGGTGACATCCCATTTTATCACCGTCTGTAATTTTTATGACTTCTCTGGGGTTTTATCATTGCTGACAACTCCTTTCTCAGCAAAACCAAGTTTAAGGCTTTTCTAGACTTATGTAACAGAGGTTGACATGGGTCCCTGGGGCTTGAACTCTCAACCTTTGTGTCTTTGCTCATCTCTCTCTCTTTGCTCAGGTTCTGGATGTGTTCCTTGGCCGCTTTGCTTCCCAAGTGCTGTGCCATTCGCCTGCCTCACTGAGCTCAACCATCTCCTTTGGTTCCCAGATCTGCCTGGGCTCATCCCCCAGCTTGTCCTCTCCCAGGGTGAGGTGGGCAGATGAGTTGTGCTGCCCACAGCTCTCCCTTCCTGGCCTCGGTACCTCTGAGCATCCCCCCAGTATTGTCCTCTCCATGAGGATATAGGGGCCTGCCAGGCACTGAGGGGTCAAAGTGTTCCTTGATAAAGATGTTATCTCCTGCCCAGCTTGGGAGTAGCTCTAAATATTCCACATGCTGATGTGAGGTGGGTCAATAAGTCCCTGTGCTATTACTGATGAACAGCACGTGGGAAGGTCCTGATAAGTTATCGTGTCCATCTGCTCTACTGGGAAAGAGAAGAGGGTACTGAGGAGGAAGCACTGCTCTAATCTCTAAGAAATACTTAGTAATAGGAGTGTTTCGAGGTGCATTTTGATATTCAGTATCTGTGGAGCATGAGGTGCAGATAAAGAAGGTTACCTTTGGCCGCTCTACCTGGAGACAGTGCTGATCTGCACCTGGAGCTGATGCAGTTGATCTGGCACCAGCAGAACCCTACTCTCACCCTATGAGCAGATGTGGCCGAGGGGCTACCATGGCTCAGAGACCCCTCACTGTGCTGCTGATGCTGCTAGGGCCATGGGAGCAGTGCTGGGAGTGTGGCTGATGTTTTCAGTGTGGGTGGGAGCTCCAAGCAGGAGCACTGCCCATAGGTGTTCCCCAAGGGGAAGCTGAGTGCCCACTGTGATCCCTACAGGGGTCTGTGTGGGTCACATGGATTTCATTCATTCTTTCTTTCTTTTTATTTTTTTTAAACGGAAAATGAAATTGCAACTTTCTCGGGAGAGCAGGATGAAAGCTGCCACTTGAGTTTCTGACAGGGATTTCATGCTTTGACCCATGGAGCAGCCACTTGGCTTTGCAGGGACTGTTACTGGCACAGCTGGAGCTGCTCACTGCTAATGGGGTGAAGGAGCAGGCACAGGTGAGCCTCACTGATTGCTGGGGGAGGAATGGGACACTTTATAAGTGCCTTCCCACATCCCAGCTGCCTTTTTGGCACTGCCTTTCCCAAGCCCAAGAGGAGGAACCAGCAGAAAGGGGAGTGAGGTTCAGACCTGGGTTTGTATGAAGCTTCCAGAGAGGTGAGGAGTGGGGCCTGGGTGGGTGAATGGCTGCTGTCCCCTGCAGGAAAGCACAGGGACAGCATTCCTGGGTGCGTGGCAGGTTGGCTGAAGGCTGGAAATGGTAAACTGGATGGGCTGACAGAAAGGAAGGAAACATCTTATTTTTTTGCTTTGCTGCCCAGCCCCAAAGAGCTGTCCTGTACAGCAGTTACCCTGACCCAATGGCCAAAGCATTGTGTGTGTAGCTCTCTGAGAAGAGGGAGAAGGAAGGAAAAGGGAGGGGAGGGAGCTAGGAGAGTGGGAAGGTAACTGAACAAAGCAGCTTGAGGTGTCCTGGTTTGCCCCTGTGCGTGCTTATACAGAACCTGCTCTTTTGTCTGATGTGTGGGGTGTGTCTGTAGTGCTCCTCTGGGCTCCTGACAGAGCTGTGTCCAAGCTCTTGTGTACCAAGAGCTCATTAGTGCTATTAAAGTACCCAGTGCTGAGACCTTATGGTTAAGATTGCAGAGCTGGGATGAGCTGTGCAGCTCCATGGCCTGCACTGCAGACAGAGGGAGATGTGTGGGGCTGCTGGGGGGCTGGAGGCTGTGCTGGGACAGCTGGGAGGCAATGGGAGCTGAGCAGGATCAGTTCCCTGCAGAGCACAGCAGGTGTGGCTCTTTGGAAGTGATTGTTCCCAGTGGAGAAGGAAACTTCTGTGTGCCCACCTGCAGTGATGTAGGGATCACTGTGGGTGGGTGATGGGGAGGGACTGCACTGTCCCCATCTCTCCAAGAGGAAGCTCCTCCTGCAGGTGTTTGCCTGGTTGGCCATTACTGGCTGGGATGGGATGGGAGTTTTGCCATCTGCCTCTCTCAGGAGATGCTGTGCTGGCTGCTGAAAGCAGTTGGTCTGAAGGAATGTGAGTAATGCGGGGAGGGGGAGAGCTCTGCCAGTGGGAACTGCTGAAGTGTGCCCAAGGTCAGGGCTCAGAAAAGCTGTGCCCCCCTGCCCAGACTTGGGTCGCTACACAGCTATTCCTGCAGGGCAGGGGGCAATGATGGGAACGTGCTTTGTGCTGCCTGCAGTGATGAAGGGCTGGAGCACGTTCTGTGGCAGGAGCCAAGAGCAGCCCCATGGGAGAGGGGCTCTTATTTCAGCCCCTGTGGGAGCAAGGAGCCCTCCACAGGGGGCACCCCAGGGGACAGCTGCTTGTCTCGTTGTCTTCACACGCGCACACAGACTCAGCCTTTAGCACAACCCCAGGCTCTAAGGCTCCTGAGACATTGCTGGTTATGTGTCTAGTCCCTGAAGGCTCACAGAGATCAGTGCTGCTTTTCTTCTCTGCTAGCTTGGTTCATCGAGGTCAGGCTCTGGCCGTGGGGTTTCAGCAAAGTGAGAAGCAGTGCAATGGGTCAGGATTGCAGCAGACAGCCCCAGAGGCTGTGTGAAGGGAGTGCAGAGCTGGAGTTCAGCAGTGAGGTCGGTTTGGTGCAGCAGTCGGGTGCTGATGGAGTCCTGGGCAGCAGAGTGGTGGGGTCTCAGTGGTAGCACTGCCAGCAGGGCCAGGCTTGGGGCCAGGGGTGCTACCTGTGTAGCTGTTGGCTCTGAATTTACTCAGAGGGTGAAGATCAAACCTCCCTCCTGAGGAAGCTCCTGTGTGTGTGTGCTTCTCAACAAGCCACAGCCTGGGCTCTGTTGGGGGTCTGAGTCCTGAGGAATGGGGTGGGGTCAGCTCCATCTCTCCTGGTTGCATCCTGGCTCTGCTCCTTGCTGGGGACCCTTCCTCTGCTGCTCAGTTAAACACGGTATTGACCACTTCATCAGAGCCTGGGGCTCTTTCTCAGCTTTCTTAGCTAATGGCTGTGTCTGCCTCCCATTGATCCTCAGCTGCAGAGCTCATTGATCAAGTACATTTCTTATTATGCTTAATGGTATTTTACTCCCTTCTGTTCTTACCTCATGCCTGATGCTCACCCAATGTTTCTGCCTGCAAGTGGCAGAATTCCTCTGGTCAGAGCATCATCCTTGCCTGTGCCAGCACTGCTTTCTTCCCCTTGGCAGCCCTGCTGCCTCCCTCTGCCTGGTTGGCCTTCCTTCTGCTTTTCCCATCTTCCTTTTCCTTCTGAACCATCTGCTTGTCTTCCAGTTCCTTGCCCTCTGTGTCCCTGCTCCTCTTGGTCAGAGGGATGCAGATCTCTCTCACCATCCCTCCCTATGATGTGGCATCAAACACAGGAGGAGAAGGGTCAGCATGTCAGCAGGTGTCATCCATTTGGGGATGGAAACCACTCTGTAAGGTCAGCTCTAACTTTCCTGATACAGATGGGCATTGTCAATCCAGAATTGGGGGTGGTTCTTCCTTGCTGTGCTGCCTCTTCCTGCAGCTTGCCCAGCTGGGGTGAGGAGCAGCAGCCAGGGCACCGTGTTTCCTTTTGCCCTCCCCCCACATGAACACCTTTGCACTCCACAGACACACACTGTATGTTGCCTTACTCTGTGCCTCACCTCCTTTCAACTCCCTTGCATGCATCATTCAAAAGCCGTAACATTATTGGGCATAAAATATTTACTTAACTGAGCTTTTTGCAAATATTCCCCTCCATTATTTTTCCTCCTTTTGGGAGCAGCCACTGCTTCTCCTGTGCTCTCAAATGGCTTCTCTTAAATAATACAACAAGAACATATGAACACCCACTAGCCTTTTTCTTTCTCTAGAAATACCCATAAATATAACCATGTCACCAATCCATTACAGCCACACCAGGCCCGTGGCTCAGGAGCACCCAGCAGCACAGGACCTGCCTGTGTAATCACCTCCCTGTTGTAAGAGGGGCAGGCAGAGAAGTTGCCCAGGGAGGGAGCATAAATGCATGAGAAGATCTGACATGATGCAAGGAATTAATATTAATTAAGAACTGCTCCTTTCAGAAGGGGTGTCTGAAGCCTAGCAGAGGGAGTGCAGGACTGAGCATTCCCATTCTGATGGCAGCCTGGATGCTGGGCCAGCTGCTCGGAGCAGAATTCCCTCCAGCAGTGAAATGGCTCATTGCTGGCAGGCTGGCCTGCAGCACGGTGATGCTGAGAGGCTGTTCCCACTGCAAGCAGCAGGACGGGCGGGCCTTGACAGCTCTGAAAGAGCGAGCTAAAGTACGCTATACGCTTGAGGCAGCCGGATAGGATGGTAGCGCCTTCTAGAAGTAAACGCACACCGGTGATGGAATGTGTTCTCTCCTTACGAGAGGCCATCCGGCTGTCTCCCTGCTGTGCGATGGGTGCCCTGGTAGGGCTCTGCTGGGTGCCGCTGTGGCCGTAGGGCTGCGGCTCCCACGTGCGCGGGGCTGCGGGCGCTGTCCGCGGTGCTGACTCCGGCCGTGCCCACAGCGCCCTCCCAGCCGCCCTCCACGCTCCACACGGAGCTCTTCCCCTTCGAAATTCTTCCTATGTGATCCCGACCCTTCTGCGAAGTCCGAATGTGCTTTAATGGCGTGTGCTGTTGCTCTCGATTGATTTGCCCGTTGTTATCGATACGTGCCTGGAGGTGTAATCCTCTCAATTCCCCCCTCTGGAAGGGGGTAGGGGATTACTGCGGGGTAGGTGGCATAGCCTCCCTCTGGCTCAAGGCAGCCATTCCAGCTGGAACCTGGGCTTTGCTGGTCTCTGCAGCTCTGGCCAAATGGCTGCAGGATGCCTGGGCTTTTCCAGCTCTTTGGTAAGGTGTGAAGTCATCTCAGGGGGAGGAAGAATCACAGAATGGCCCAGGTTAGAAGAAACCTCAAGGATCGTGAATCTCCAACCCCCCTGCTACAGGCAGGGCTGCCAACCTCCCCATTTAATACGAGACCAGGCTGCCCAGGGCCCCATCCAATCTGGCCTTGAACACCTCCAGTGATGGGGCATCCATGGCTTCCCTCCAGCTGTTTCCAACACCTTACCTCTCTCATAGTAAAGAACTGTGAATGGCTCAGGAAGGCCACATAAAGAGACTGCTTCTGTAGTTAAAAACCCAGCTGAACAAGAAAACCACCATATGTTCCCTTATTCGCTTGTTGCTATCGTTGTCCTCATTATCTGAGCCTCTGGGGTCGCACTGCCTGCAGAGAAACACGGAGTGAAATAAAAGGCTTTGGGAGGAGGATGTGGGGATGTACATGGCTGCCCGGGGAGGTAGTTGAGTCACCATCCCTGGAGGTGTTCAAGAAATATGTGGATGTGGTATTAAAGAACATGGTTCAGTGGGCAGCATTGGTAGTAGGTGGATGGTTGGGCTAGGTGTGCTCAGAAGTCTTTTCCAAACGTAATGATTCTATGAGGTTGGCTCCCATGTAGGAGAGCTGGCCTATGGGTCTGTGGGTTTGGTGTCTTACCTGCCTCTATTAATCTCATCTGAGAGTTTTGCATAATAGCTGGATAGTTTGAAGCTGATTGGGCAGGGCTGCGAGCAGCTGGATGGTAAAATAGCAGATGAATGTTGCTGAAGCTGAGTAATACAAATGAGAACACATTCTCAACTACAAAAAAAAACCCAACAACGACAACAAAGCAGACCTTCAATATTTCCTGCTTGGGAAAAGGGATCTTGCAGTGTCTGTGGGCAGTTCTATGAAAATGTCTTCTCAGTGCGCGGTGTCAGTCAAATAAAGCGAATTGACTGTTAGTAGTTGTTAAGAGAGAGACTGAAAACAAAACAGCAGCAATGTTATGCCAAGGTATAATATGCTGTGTTGCGGTGCAAATGTTCTGTGTGGTTGTGGTTCTGCAATCATAGAGAGGAGGTGGTTGAACTAGAAAAGGTAAAGGATGACAAGGCTGATCAAAGGCACAGGACAGCTTCTGTTTGAGAAGAACCTAATAAATTAGGGCTCTCTTGGTTGGAGAGACAATTGGGGTGATAGACTATGGAGTTTTATAAACTCAGGAGTGGCATAAAAGTGAGTAACAGGAAATGAATATTCACTATTTCTCATAAATATGTGGTATAAAATGAGAAAGACAACATATTTAAAATGTAGAAGGGAGGGATATCTTTTTTTCATGCAGTGCTTGGTTGTGTTGTGCAGCTCAGCACTACAGAATGTTTAAGAGACCGGTGTCCCCTGGCTCAGAAAGCCATTAGACCCATTCAGGAAGGCAGATGCATTAGCAGCTCTTACACACAGTGATGCAGATGCAATGCCCTGCTCTCCGTGGCTGGGTGCAGTGGCTGCCTTCAGCACAGGAGCAGCGGGTAGGTCAAAGGGTGTGGAATGGGGGCAAGGCACAGCCCCATAGGGCTGCTGGGGAGCTGTGGGTCATGCAGCTGCCCCAACAGAGGCCATGGGCAGCTCAGTGTGTGCAGCCACTGCTGCTACATCACTCCCTCTTCTGCAGTACTGCTGCAACCATCGCTGTCCCTGACTGCAGCTCAGCTGCCCGTGGCATCAGCTCTCCGCGGTTTGGGACGTGCCTTTGTGTCGCCGAGGAGCGTTTAAGTGTTTTTCTGTTACAGCAAGGTGAACAGACCTTTCCCTGTAATGCTGGCAAATCCCTGCTCCTGAGGAGCAGTTAATTGATTTCCCTTTTCATCGTGCCTCCTCTCCCCGTGGCGGTGCTGACACCCGCGCTGCTCGGAGATCTCTGCCTGAGCGTGGAGTCGGTGGCTGCGACAGGCAGATCCTGAAATTATTGATAAACACTCATTGGGGCTGGAGCCTGGTAAATTGCCAGCAACCCCAGCGGATTTCTCTCTTGCCAGCATCATTTTTCTTGATGACAGCGTGTTCAGAAG